GTGTGTGTGTTTGGAAGAGAACTGATCTGATGAATAATCCAGGACTGATGTCATCAATAATATTTAATGTCTCCCTTTTTTGTTCATTATTTGATCAGACTGTAAATGTTTTTAGATATTTAGATGTTTAAACTATTGCTGCTTATAGTAATAATTATATATTTTTAAAAATAAATTAGAATACATTTTTTATAATTCCATTTTTTTTAAGATTAAAAAAAAATATGAATTATTTATTAGTATAATTAGACTGCCTCCTTCTTTTTGACCTGCATTCTCTCTCAGACCTCGCCCTCTAGAGACAGCTCAGCCAATCCCAACATGTAGGCTTCAGGGATAATCATATTTGATGTTTATTTTTTTTATTTAAATATTGTATTTTTTGTATTTTAAGAAGTTTTACTCAAAATTGGTTCTTTTTTTATTAGCTTTTTAATTAACTTTTTGTTAACTTTTTTGTAATTTTATTTTTTTAATTATTATTATTGTTATTTATATATCTTTTTTTATTACAATATATGTTTAGATATATTTTTCTATTAAAATAGACACATTAATATGCATTATTATTATTATTATTTATTTATTTGTTTGTTTGTTTATTATTACTATAAGCAGACTGCCTCCATCCTTTTGACTCGCCTTCTCTGTTATTCTATTTTATGCTTTTTTATTTTTACATATTTGAATTCTGTCTTTCTTTCTTATTTTCATTGTACACTAAATGTGACCAAAAATATTATTATAAAAAAATATTTTATTAGCATTATTCATAGTTATACTTTTTATATGAAATTGTATTTTTATTTATCTTTTAATGTTAACATTTTAATAACTGTTTTAAAATAGTTGTATTTATTTAATTAAATTATTTAATTAATTTAAATTTTTACATCGCCGATGGATCGCCTCTCACTGAATTAAACATGCAATTAAGCGAGATCATGTGACAACAGTGCATACATACTGCATACTGTTTCACATACAGTCTAAAAAAACAGTATGCAGTGTGCATGTAGTGAGCAGTTTGCTAGTATTCCATTCTGAACACAGCCCGTGTGCAAGGCTCCTCCCCCTGCCTTCCTCCACCCAGTGATGTGGGCGGAGCTTCATCAGTAATAGCTCATCCCAGCATCACACACACACACACACACACACACACACACACACACAGGGAGGGGTCGCGTGCCACTGGAGGCTGTGTCAGAATGAGGCAGTGTGGGAAAGTGTGACGATATGTTGAGGAAGCTGGTGTGCCGGAGGATCTGCACCTGTAAGCGTCTCACTGTCTGAGCACTGCATGAGTGGAGGGACGAGACAGACAGACAGACAGACACACAGCTGTAGCTCTCTGTGATAGCGACTCGCATCTGTCTGTCTGTCTCTCTGCCTCTGTCTTTCTGAAATCTGATCGCTGTGATTAAATGCTGCATGCAGACCGCATGTGTGTGTGTTTGTGTGTGTGTGTTTTGCATTTATGTCCTCAAAACCTGCATTATGGAACCTTTCAATTGAAAATGCTTAATAGACATAAATAATGTATTCATTAAGATATACAAATGCCTTGTGAGGGTTAGAGGACAGAAAGTGTCATTTTCTCAGTGTAAAAACAAGAACAAAAGTGTGTTTGTAGACAGAAAAGTGCATTATTAACTATTATTACAATTAGACTGCCTCCATCCTTTTGACTTGCCTTCTGTATATTTATTTTTATGCTTTTTTATTTTTAAATAAGATATTTTAATTCTGTCTTTTTTTGTTTTAATTTTTCATCAAATTGGACCAAAAACTATTTACATTTTTTATTTTATATTAAAATCATATTTTATGTATGTTTTATATTAATATTTCAATAATAGTTTGTTAATTATTTTATTTAATTAAATTATTTACTTCATTTATGGGCACCAAATGTCCTTGTAACCTGCATTATAAAATGTTCAATTGAAAATACTTAATAGACATGTAAAATAACATATTAATTAAAATATACAAAATATAAGAACAAATGTATGTTTGCAGTTGTCTCCAGAAATAGCATTATTATTATTATTATTAGTCTGCCTCCATCCTTTTGCCTTTTGTATTTTTATTTTTATGCTTTTTAAACATTTTAAATAAGATATTTTAATTTAGTCTTTTTTCTTCTTATTTTTCATTTTACACAAAATTGGACCACAAAAATAATTTTTTATTAAAAAAGAAATATTATTTTTTTTTTTTATTAGTATTCATTATATATTTTTATTTTCATATTTAAATTATATGTTATGTTATATATTTATATTAAAATTTGTATAATAAGTATATTTTCTAAATGATTTTATTTATTTTATTAAATTAATTAAATTATTTAATTCATTTATGGTCACCAAATATCCTCATAATCTGCCTTGTGGAAACTTTCAGTGGAAAATGCTTAATAAACCTGTAAATAACGTATTAATTAAAATATGCAAATTGTTTGTGAGGGTTAGAGGACAGAAAATGTAATTTTCTCCATGTAAAAACAAGAATATGTGTACAAATGTGTGTTTGCAGACAGAATTGTTCTCAGAAATTGCTTGAAACATTTTGGGGGTGTATCATAAATCATAAATTAAGTAAATTATGTTTTAAGTTCTCTTTTTGGGGTAAGAGAAGGTTTTGAGTCTGTTTTTTATGTAAAAATAATAGATGTTTGTGGTTTAGATGTCTGGATGAATGTGTGCTTGTTTCCCTGGAGGTTTCTGGAGTAGTTCAGAGCATGTTAGAGGGCCATTCGCAGTGAAGTATTGTGGGAGAGAGGTGTTGACACTAATGCATGATGAATAAGGTCGGGAGTGTGTGTGTGTGTGTGTGTGTGTGTGTGTGTGTGTGAGTTATTGAGGGTGACAGCGGGTCTGTGTATTAGGGTTCATGCATCAGCCCTGCAGCCTGTTTTAGCCTCTCTAATCTGGATTTACCATCAGCAGTGTGTCAGCAGCACACACACACACACACACACACACACACACACACACACACAAGCTGCACCAGCACCGC